CTGATGTGTGTAGATCTCTGTCCAGCAGGTGGCGCTGAAACATCTTTATCAGAAACACACACACACACACACACACACTTTCTGGATGCTTTGCATTACCGATTGAACATCTCTATAGTCATGATTGAGCTGTTTTTATTGTTTATTTTATAGGCATCAGGCATTCATTAATGCTTCACCCCCCTGAAGAACGTCAGAACAAGATGCTGAAGCTCAGACGCGCTGCTTTGAGAAACTGTCAATCACAGCTGTCAATCACGATGACACGCCCAGCATTAAATTACTGCTAAAAACAAACTGTTTACAAAAATGAAGATCTGCACCTATTTCAGCACAATAACCAGCGCCTTAATCCACCAGAACTATCTTTCGGGACATTTTATTGCAAGTGTAATAATTTTTTTATTTGGGCTCAAGTCTCCTTCATTAACACGGAGGAGGCGGGCTTTATGACTTGTTCTGCAGCCAGCCCCCAGGGGGCGATCTAACGGCCGAAACCTTCACTCAAACGCAGGCTTGCGGCACACTTGGCCTGTACCTTCTCTCCTGTAAAGCATGTGGAGTGTCAGTGAGAGTCGTGTGTTTGGGGCTGGATGCTCGGCCGTTTCCTCTTCTCCAGTATCCATTGTGAGGGTGCTGTCGCAGATGGAGCTGTCAGATGAACGCCGCTCACTTTAACATTAATTTGGCTTTATAACTGTGCTTATCACTGAGTGACGAGCTGGTATAGTACGCTGAAAGCGTCATGTCAGTAATAATATATATAATATGTCATCAATATATCTTAAGACAACAACAAACTGCACCGCGTCAGATGTCATTCCCTCAGTTTAAGTGCTAGCGCTCCTGATGTTTTTCTGCAACCTTGCTGCGGGCGCATCACAAACATTTTTACAGAGTTAGCTTAGCAAAGCCTACAATGAACGAATTTTGGGGACTACAAACAATACTTCCGCCCCCTGTGAGATCGCAAAGGTTCGTTTACTGCGCACACACACTGCGCAGGTAAGGGGCGTGGCCAGAGGCGCTGTAACGTTACAGCAGAGATGAAGCTAAAAATGCGTCCAAATACGGCTGCTTCCACAGAGCTTCATCTGTTTCTGTATTTTGGGCTTCCAAAGGACACGACACAAAGACAGAAGTGCTCACAGTTCAATATTAATCATGTTCTAGAGAATTATAAATAACACAGCAAGCGTGATCTGACAAAACAGCTCCAGAATCTCCCAGTTCAGTGCTGGATTCGGCTAAAATCTCCTCCGCAGAAGCTGTGAACTCGACCTGTGAGTGTTTTTATTAGTTAAAATTGATCATGACATGTTCAGTGTCTAGTGTTAAATATATGCTGTAGCAACGATGTAAACAATGCGAAATGCTGCTTTGCACCGCAAACGATTGAGCTACTAACTCATATTTATCAGTCAAACTGCTGTAAACACACACACACACACACTCCACCAGCACGTTCGTGTCTCTTATGTTTGTGTGTGCGCGACTTTGCACTGATTGTCTTCAGGCAGCTTTTCCATGTTTCACACCTCAGATAATGAAGTCACATAAGATATGTGGATGATTCATATTACTTACACCTGCTTATTCCTGATATATGTGACAGGCGTCGTGTAACGCATAGAGTTTAAAAATACAGGAGAGCTCAGCTGACTCGTGTAGCAGCAGAAAAATAAATGAAGCCTCACACAGGTGACATCCCACATCTTGTGCTTTATTCTTCTGTCACGATATCTTACAGAAAATAACTTAATCTGAGCATCAGAGAAAAAACAGAGAAACTCCCGCACACATGCGCTTGATACAGAAAGTTCATACATTCACTCACTCACACACACACACACACATAGACGCACACACACAATAGCAAACGCTCTTAAAGGAGCCGCAGCCCATTTTCACTGGTTACAGACGCTTGTCAGATGTTATTTTAGAGCAGGCAGGAGCTTGACTGAGGTTTACACAGCAGAGAAGCGCGTGCTGTACGGGCGTGACGTGGAGCTGATCTTCATCAAACAGCAGCACATTACGATGATGACCAATCAGAGTCACATAAGGGCGGGCCTTTCAGAGGAACTAGGAAATATATCCGGCGTGTTCATGTTAGCTGAGTATCAAAGTGAGATACATGAAAACATGAGCACACACTGCTTTACATCTTATAAACACAACCAAGCCTTAAAATTACATTCTGGACCAGCCCTTTAAGATTTCTAGTTTCAGACTTCAGATTTTGGGATCCTACCGCACAACACCACATGTTTGCTATTGCAGCCGCTCTTGATTTTGCAGCCGCTATGCGTGGTTGAATGCGTGTGACGTCATATGGGATCATATCAGGACTTTTTTTCTGGTAAAATAGGAGTTTGTATCTACATTTAGCCTGAAGGTGGAGTCCAATTACACGCACAGTTAGTAGTTGAACCTACAGTAACATCTGAAATGTCTAATCAGAGAGTACTGCAGGTCAGAATACCAACAGACACGTTTAATAAATAAACTAGACGCAACTAAAAATAAATACACAAATGACTGAAGAATGTGTTACACAAACTACCCAGAACAGTTGACCCCCCTGATCCTCCATTTATGATTCACACACTGTTCTTCATCCTCCAGAAGAGGTCATCAGTATCTGATGATGTGCTGCTGTTTCTGTGTGGTCGGGTTCGGGTTAGGGCTTGGGTTAGGCCACAGACACTATCATTGACCTGATATAAAGACGACTGAAGTCTGTGTGGCGACGCAGTGGTGCAGTAGGTAGTGCTGTCGCCTCAAAGCAAGAAGGTCGCTGGTTCGAGCCTCGGCTCAGTTGGTGTTTCTGTGTGGAGTTTGCATGTTCTCCCTGCCTTCGCGTGGGTTTCCTCCAGGTGCTCCGGTTTTCCCCACAGTCCAAACACATGCGGTACAGGTGAATTGGGTAGGCTAAATTGTCCGTTGTGTATGAGTGTGTGGATGTTTCCCAGTGATGGGTTGCAGCTGGAAGGGCATCCGTTGCGTAAAATTCATTTGCGTATCCATTCGTAAAAACGTGCTGGGTAAGTTGGTGGTTCATTCCCCTGTGGCGACCTTGGATTAATAATGGGACTAAGCCAACAAGAAAAAGAATGAACGAATGAAGTCTGTGTGATGTCTTCAGTCAGAAGTGTGTGTGTGTGTCAGATGTACTCTGGGTTCTGCTGAGGTTCTGTCAGCTGTTCCATTCCGTCTTCAGCTCTCGGGCTTTCATAGCGGTTCCTATGGGAACCACTGTTGCTCTGGAGCCTCAATTACATAAACACTTGTTTGCAGTGCGAAGGAATGGTGTGTGTGTGTGTGTGTGTGTGTGTGTGTGTGTGTGTGTGTGTGTGTGTGTGTGTGTGTGTGTGTGTGTTGATTTGTGTCTGTGTGTGTGTGTGTGTGTGTGTGTCTGCTGTGTAAAACATATGCTAGAATAGTTTGCAGTTCATACCGCTGTGGTGACCCCTGATAAATCAGA